GTGCGACCTCTGTGGTCTCTGAGAGTCGTTCCTTGCCAGTTAACATATTTATTAAGCACCTTGTATCTGAGTTGCTAGTCACTTACCGCTCACAAATATGAGTAGTTTTGTGACAAGTAGCCCAGGAAGGATTAATGCATGTTGCAAGGAGAGTCGATGTGTATGCCTGTATTTTCAGTTACTATTATCAGTTAGGGGAGTAACCTCTTTTTATTCTTACTGTTTGATCCACTGACTTAGTTATCTCATACTAAAAAGTTTAAAAGATTGTAGCTCTAGTGTAAGCATATTTACCATGCCACTGAATAAATTTGCTTATATATTTCATCACAGAGAATAATTATCTACTACGTTTTCACAGTTCTCTAATAAAGAGTAAAAAAAGTAGAAGCATTTTATTTCCCGAGTTTATGATATCTGTCACCCCCTAAATTTTATGGGAAAGTTGTTTTAGGTAGCACAATTGTCCTAAAATGTGGAAAATGGTGGAGCATTTTTAGATTGCTTTTTTTTTTTTCAGTGAGGAAGATTGGCACTGAGCTAACATCTGTTGCCAATCTTCCTCTTTTTGCTTGAGGAAGAGTGGCCTTGAGTTAACATCTGTGCCAATCTTCCTCTATTTTTGTATGTGGATTGCCACCACAGCATGGCTTGATGAGTGGTATAGGTCCATGCCTGGGATCTGGACCCATGAATCCCAGGCCACTGAAGCGGAGCTTGTGAACTTAACCATTACACCACTGGGCTGGCCCCAAGATTGCTTTTTTAATATTTTAACATTAGTAGACCACAACACAATTGTAGTAAAACCATTGACAAGAGCTTCAGATTATTAATAGGATTATTAGAAGGTTGCACATTCAAGTTTAAGAAGAAGAACCACAAGTCCACCACTGTCTTTTGTACACAAAGGTGATATTACCAGCCCAGTCCCCTCTTGTGGCTTGTTTAGTTTTGCTGGTTTCTTTTCTAGGAAGTGGTATGGATTCTTCTATTTACATATTTTGAAATAAGGTATTTCAGAGAAACTGGGTTCTGAGTACTGTTGTCCGTAATGTTTTGGGTGGTTCTTTCCCTGGTGTCGGGTACCTTCTCCACACGCTTTTGCGGCTCAGCGCTCTGCTGAATCCCTGAGGGGGCCCTCTGCAGACCTCTGCAGGCTGCTCTCCGTTTCTGCCCTGGAAAATGTTGGAGCATATAGGTAGAGTGGCTTTCATTCTCCTGTCTTTAGTCCTGGAGAAAAATTTTTTACTGTGTCATTTACTATTTTTTCTTTCAGTTAATATGCTGAGTTGTTCTAAAGAATGTAGTTCCCAATTATCTAGTCAGTCCCAAAAAGCAATAAGGAAAGTCTAGAAATCTAACTATAGGGAACTTTTACAACTGCCGCTTAATACCATCCAACAAATTCTAGTGGTTTAAAAGCATCCTGATTTAAGCCATCCTGCTGGAAAATGCTTTAATTATCTCAGAAGACTCAAAGTTTTAGAAAACCCTTAGAATTTTGGGAAAAAAGAAAAAGAAAGAAAGAAACTCTATTACTGGAAGATTTTGTGTCCCCGGGGCCTTCACACTTAAGAGAATAACTGTTAGAATTATATTTGATCTAGAATTATAGGACAAATATATTTGTTAATGTTTTGGTTACATAAATACGTAGGCCCATCTTTGTCTACTTGTAAATCCTGCGATTGATTGCTCAGACTTAGACATAACAATAGATTTGGCATCACCATTAAAGTTAATTTACAACCGTTTGATTTGGTTTCACCTCTTTGATTCATCTTTAAGAAATGGTTTCCAAAACCCATGTTGGATATTACTATTGAATCTAATTAATTTTGAGTAAATTCATTTTATTTATTGGAATAATTTTGAGTTTTTTCCTCAGTGGTGTTAATGAAAAACTGTACATATCTGAAAAGAAAGAGAGTTAGCAGCATCTTTAATAATATTAATGAAAATATTTAAAAATATTTCCATGGTGCACTACTGTGTCAAAATTTAATTAAGACTCTATCCAGGCGTTATTCAGTTCTGAGTAAGCTGGCATTATCTGAGGTACTGTAATTGTTTAGCCAGATAAAGCAAATACTGTATTTGACTTCTGTGGAAATTAATTGTGTGCATACTACCTCTAATCATCTAATCCATCTATCTAGTTAAAAAATAACCTAGTTGAAATGATTACTGAAATATATATAAGCCTAAGAAAAAATATTTTGATGTTTCTCTGTTAACTATAGGGCATTTAATCTAAGGTACCCAGTAAAAATAGTGTTTATTCCTTTATGGATCTACTTAAGTAAGACCATCCCTGCTAATTCGCTTGTATGCCAGACACTGAATTTTACCTTGTTGGGGGCTGGATATTTTTGTATTCCTATAAGTGTTCGTCAGCTTTGTTCTGGCACACAGCTAAATTACTTGAAAACAGTATGCTCCTTCTGGGTCTTGCTTTTAAAGGCTACTTAGGTGGGACCAGGGCAGTACTTAGACCAGGGCTGACTCTCTCATAAATACCAACACCAGAGCCTTTTCAGCACTCGACCAATCCCAGGAATCTTGAGCTTTTCCAGTCTGGCTGCTGGAAGTGGTCCTGTTCCTGGCCCTGTCTGGGTTCTGAGTACTGTTGTCCGTAATGTTTTGGGTGGTTCTTTCCCTGGCGTTGGGTACCTTCGCCACGTGCTTTTGCGGACCATTGCTCCGCTGAATCCCGGAGGGGGCCCTCTGCAGCCTTCTCTCCATGCAGCTCTCTCCGCTCTGGTGCTCTGCCCTGGGTCTCTTCATCCTGTCGGCGCCATCTCCTCAGCCCAGTGTGTCCCCGCTGTGCTCTGCAGCTGTCACACTCTGACCAGGCAGGCAGCTGGGGCTACTCATTTCTTTCCCATCTCTCAGGGACCACTGTCCTTGTTGCTGTGTCCTGCATCTTGGGAACTATTGTTTCATGTATTTTGTCCAGTTTTTAGTTGTTTCAGGAAGGAGGGTAAATCCAGTCCCTGTTACTCTATTTCGGCTAGAATCAGACTGATGTCAGGTTATATCTTAAATGAATATTAATCTTTTAGTTTAATTTTCCAAAACATAACTTAAGAGTTTCTGATGATATTATCTGCAAATGAGATTATTTTTTCAGGGAGCAAGCCCATGACTTAATCTAGGCAGAACCAGATGATTTCTTAATCCCTTCTAGCTATAAAACCTGTTCTGACAATATATTTTTATTACATTTAAAGCAGTGCTCTAATAAAGATTTAAATGCAGACAATACACAGTTGTTACACATTAAAATAATCGCCAAAGTTTTCCACCTGTTATCTTCATCCTCCACCTCCCCCAGCAAATGGTGAAAGTGTAGTGAAACTGGTAACGAAGCCTTGTAAATGATGTCTACACTCTTTTGGAAAACAAATTGGAACTAATATGTATTAAAATGCATAAAAATTGTTATAGCTTTTGAATTATTAACCCCACTTGGAGAATTATAGCCAATGTAAATAATCTTAGATATGTAAAAAAGCTGTATCTTCAAAAGAATTAATCATGGTGCTAATTCTAATGGAAAAAAAATTGGTAATAATCTTAATGTCAAAATAGGTGCCTAATAAGGGATTAATGCTAGCCCTGGTGGTCTAGTGGTTAAGATCCAGTGCTTTCACTGCTGTGGCCTGGTTTTGCTTTCTGGTCAGGGACCCACACCACCTGTCTGTGGGTTGTTATATTGTGGCAGCTGGGTGTTGCTGTGATGCTGAAAGCTACGCTACTGGTATTTCAAATACCACAAGGGTCACCCATGGTGGACAGGTTTCAGCAGAGCTTCCAAACTCAGACTGGGAAGAAGGACATGGCCACCACTTCCCCCCAAAAAATTGGCCATAAAAACGTTATCAATAGCAGGAGAGCATTGTCTGATGGAGCACCAGAAGGTGAGAGGATGGCGCAAAAAGACCAGGCAGAGTTCTGCTCTGCTCTCCACGGGGTCGCTGGGAGTTGGAATCTACTCGATGGCATTAACAACAAAGAGATTAATACCTACAATATGTAAAGAACTCCTACAACTCAATAGCAAAAAAACCAAACCCAATTCAAAAATGAGTAAAGGACTTAAATAGACATTTCTCTCAGAGAAGATAACCAAGTGGTCAATAAACACATAAAAAGATGCTTAACATCACTAGCCATTAGGGGATGCAAATCAAACCCACCATGAGATGCCACTTCGTACTCATTAGGATTGCTATCATAAAAAAACACAGAAAATAAGTGCTGGTGAGGATGTGGGGAAATTGGATCTCTTGTGCATTTCTGGTGGGAACGTAAAATGGTGCAGCTACTGTGGAAAACAGGCAGGTCCTAAGTGTTAAGCATGTTGTCACCATACGAGCCAGCAATTCCATTTCTGGGTATATACCCAAAAGAATTGACAGCAGGGACTCAAATAGGTCCTGCACACCAGTGTTCATAGCAGCAGCATTCACAATAGCCAAAAGGTGGAAACACCCCAAATGTCCATCAGATGAATGGATAAACAAAATGTTTTATCTGCATACAATGGAATATTAGCCTTAAAAAGGAAGGAAATTCTCACACTTGCTACAACATGGATGAACTTTGCAGATATTATGCTAAGTGAAATGAACCAGACACAAAAGGACAAATACTGTATGATTCCATGTATATGAAGTACCCAGCTAGTCAAACTCATAGAGGCGGAAGGTAGAGTGGTGGCTCCCAAGGCCTAGAGGGAGTTTCGCTTTGGGATGATAAAAATCCTGGAGCTGGATGGTGGTGACGGCTGCACGACAATGTGAATGTACTTAATGCCACTAAACCATACATTTAAAAATGGTTCAAATGGTAAATTTTATGTATATTTTACCTCAAATAAATGAATAACATACAGATCTTTCTTACATATACTTTTAAATAAGTAAGTCACATTTCCAAAAAGAGTAACGTAAGGCGTGCTGACCAGACAGTCTTCTGTTTTTCCTCTCCAGGAGTGACGCACGCCGCCATCTGGGCAGCATGCATTTCTTACCTCAGCGCCGCGGTTCCCCCTGAGCTGAGGACGTCAGCACAGGGCATCCTGCAAGGCCTTCACCTGGGTTTGGGGAGAGGCTGTGGGGCCATGATCGGAGGCGTGTTAGTCAATTATTTTGGTAAGAATGGCTTTCTCTTTTTTACTTTCTTCACTGATGAAAATGTATGATTTTTCAGCAACACCTCAATAGACACTCAAAGTATTACTAAAGATGGCCAGAAGCTGAACTCCAGTGTTGACATTCTCTTTGTAGCTTTCATGGTAGTCATTATTATTGAGCATTGTGCTTTGGTTGTTAAGATGATTAGAGCCAGCCTGTAGCCCTGCACACTTCTCTGACCGACAGCTTAATGAGATGCTACACAGATGCCTCAAAGGAGCCGAGCCAGTGAATATACACAGGTGCTTTGGGTTTGAAGTAAAAAGCCTTAAACCTGGTGATAATAATGCTAGAGGAAAGAAAACTCATCATTGTTATTCCATCAGGAGATTTTGAATCAGAAAAATCTAACTATATGCTGGCTTTGGTAATGTCACTACATCTATGATAACGCAGTCCACCTGCCCTGTCTGATCTCCCTTATTGGAAATACTGGGGCTGGGGTGGAGATGAGATTATTCTGCTCAGGGATCTTGACTGCGCAGTCAGCTATGAAAGGTGGGCCCCGGGATGTCTGAATTTATAGCACTATTTGAGCTCTGCTGTTCCAACTACAGATCAATAGGGTTGTCTAATCATTAGGTAAAAGGTCTTTATGAAGAAGAGAATACCAATGAATTTTTCAGTGAAAGACACTCGGAGACAGTCCTTTATAAATGCAGTTTTAAAACTTGACCAATGACAGATCCGATACCAGCACCTGGGTTTCCAGACACCCACCCAGCCGTGTGTTTCTTCCACTGTAGGAAGCTAATGGTCATTCACCATTCTGTAGTTTACCCCAAGCTCTGGTGCCTTTGTCCTAAACTTTAGAACATTGACAGTTTTTGGATGAGGCCGATCTGCATTTGCTGGAATTGCTCTGTCGAGCACTCTGTTTTCGTAGGGGCCGCTGCAACCTTCCGGGGAATTGGCATGGCCTGCCTGGTGATCCTCCTGCTCTTTGCCCTGATCCAGTGGCTGGCGGTGCCAGAGGAGGAAGAAGGTAAATATGTCCATTATTCCTTAATGATTCTAAAGGTCGAAGCCACAGGGAGTTCTACACATACCCCTCAGAAACCCAGAGTTGGTAACAGAGGGTATGACAGACCCGCTTGGCCCGATTTTCTTGGTGGTGTATTGATGAACTCATCTGTACCATTGCTGGAGAGAGCCCACTTACTGTGTTGGATAAAATACAGCTCATTTTAAGTAGCTTGGGGTTTTTTTGTTTTTGTTTTGTTTTATGATGCAAGGGACTGGGGAAGTATTGCTTTTAAACTTCTCTTGTATTCCAAAGTGATTTAAAATTTAAGTCAAATACATATAAGGCTATACAGAAATTTTACTACAAGGAATAGGGAGTGGTAATAATCTCTGTGCTTTTACCTTCATTGAAAAAAGTGTCTAAAGCTTCAGTTTGAAGTTTTCCCTCAACAAGGCATGGCCTTCATTAAAACTGTTAGATACAAAGAAGGTTATATCAAATATAATGTGTAGATGAGAACAAGTTTTCAACTTTTTTTTTGAATCAACTTTTTTTATGAAGACAGCCAACCAGTAGAAAGGAAACATTCTTATTCAGCTCTTGGGTCTTAGAAGAGGTTCATCTTCTTTGGTGTCTTGTCCTTTGAGAGCATTCGCCTTAAATACCCGAAGTTCTTGTGTTAAGAGAAAAACTAGCTTGTTCCAAAACCCCAGAGACAGATTTTAATGGCAATGAGTTACACAGAAAGAAAGACGAGTGGCTGGCCCAGTGGCATAGTAGTTAGGTTCGTGTGCGCTGCTTTGGCAGCCTGGGGTTCGCAGGTTTGGGTCCCTGGCAAGGACCTACACACTGCTCATCAAGCCATGCTGTGGTGGCATCCCACATAGAAGAAGTAGAATGACTTATGACTAGGATATACAACTATGTACTGAGGCTTTGAGGGAAAAAAATAAAAGAAGAAGAAGATTGGCAACAGATGTTAGCTCAGGGACAGTCTTCCTCACAAAAAAAAAAAAGAAAGACAAATACTGATTTTTTTCTCACTCTTGTTGTTGTATAACCCTAACTGGATCATCTCTCTCACACAGCCTTGGTCCATGTCTTCAGCAAAAGGCCAGTAAAAACAGTTATCATGGGGCTTGTCCCGTTTTGATGCTTATCTTTAAGATCTCAATCCTGCAATTGGGTTTAAGGAAACATTCCCTATCACCCATGCCCTAGAGATGTTATATCTAAATTAAATGAACACCACATTTCATAAATAAATGTAAGTTAATGTCCATTAGGCCCTATAAGGAGACCCTGGAAGATAAGCATCACATTCATTTGCTCAGTACTTGTACCAAGTAAAGAAGCCCTGATACATAGCAATTTATTAACCTTGCCAAGCACACTCGAATGGGCTTATGGGATTGTTCACTTATTTATTTATTTTTATGTTTGTTTAAATATGTAGAAAACTGTAAAAAATAATTTAACATGACTTTCTCTCCAGACAAGACAATGTTGGCAGAAAGGATTCCTGTTCCATCAAGTCCCGTTCCCATAGCAACCATCGACTTGGTACAGCAACAGACGGAAGATGTCATGCCACGCATTGAGCCCAGACTTCCGCCCAAGAAAACCAAGCACCAGGAAGAACAGGAGGATGTGAACAAGCCAGCCTGGGGGGTCAGCTCCTCTCCCTGGGTGACCTTTGTCTACGCTCTTTACCAAATTAAAGAGATGATGCAGCTAACAAGAGACAACCGGGCTTCTGAGATACAGCCTTTACAGGTAAGGTTCCTCTGCTGGCTACTGTAAGTGGACTCGGTTGTGTTAGTTATTCCCTTATTCATTCAACAAGATTTATGGAGGGTCTGGTGGGGGAAATAGACGTGCAGACAAATAATTTCAGTATTCTGGAACAAGTGTGTTAGAGAGGTGTATACCAGGTCCCAGAGGGGAAACTCCACCTGCGGAGTTCAGGAACGCTTCACAGACAAGATGGTACTTCTTGAAAGAAAAAACAAATAAGTCCATTCTGATTTTGTATATTTCTTTAAAGTTTCCATGTTGATGGATTCTAGTTGCAGTGAGGATATGTGTGGTTCTTGCCTTGGGGGACCGTATATATGAATCTCTGTAATTCTAAAATCCTAGTGGGGACATTTTGTATATTAGGACTTCAATAACCATCTGACGAGTTAATGTATTGACTGAGCCACTGTACAGGTTTGACAGGACACCTAACTCAGTGGAAGCGTGGTTTTGCTGATGGCTTCACCTGAAAAATGACAAATGTGAATTTTCTTGTCCCTAGAGGTGTGGTCTCTCCTGAGTAAAGTCAAATCATGTTGATAAAACACTGTAGGTAATTGTAACTACAGCTGTGTACACTGCCTTTGGAAAATGAGTGTGTGACTTCTATGAACGATTTGGCCAAAGTAACGAGCCCACTTCCCTGTGTTTATAGTATCATTCCCTTTTACTTGATGAGTCATGTCAGCTATGTAGCTAGAGTAGCTTCAGAGGACACATTAAAAAAAAAATAAAGGGAAAGACTTAAAGAGTAATTTGGGTAATGTCCGTTTTAGAAAATTTGAACTACCTTAATTAAATTTATCATGACTTTGTAGACTAATGCATAATATTTCTATCGTTTAAACCAAATCTGATTCTTCAGTGGTAACCATAATGCATCCCAGTCCATGCATGATCCTGTTTATTTATCAGGATATAAACTCACAGGACTCCTCTGCTCATCAGGAAGGAGCATATTGGCGTGGGAGGAGTGTATAAAGGACGTGAAGCGGGAGAAAGGAGGTCGTCTGCTTGAGGAGCAGTGTTTTCGTGACTTTGGGTACTCATCCTCATTTTCACAGAGGCCTATCAGGCTTAAGTAGCATTGAATTTTCTTTCTGATATAAGATTAATCAAAACTGGTTGGTATGCCTTAGTTATTCTTATGAAGAAGTCATTATACTAAGATTTTTTTTTACATTTTAGGATCAGTTACAGAAATAAAAGCATTTTTTTCAGGCTCAGCTATTTGAAGTGATAGGTGCTAATTCAGAGGAAGATTCATTAAAAAAAACAACAATACATTTACTGATTGGTAAAAATCAGGAATGTGGCCTGGAATGTGGCCAGGTGGCATTTGACAAGACATGCTGGGGGGTGTGCTGGAGTGAGTGTGCACTCAAGGCCTTACGGTTGGTTACGGAAGTGCTTGTGTATGTTCCCTTTTTTACATGGATGTTCTGTCTTATTTAACTTTTAGTGTATACTTTGAGTCCCAAATACACATCAGGACATTCTTTTCCCGGCCCTATCTCTGAGGCTGAGGATGCCTTCCTTACTGCTGTTGGACAAGGTGCTTTCTAGCTCTTGAATCCTATGGCCTCAGCAAGTGGCTCGACTCTCAGTTCTGTGCTGCTTGCCCAGTGACTTGCCACATGGCTGGTGGGAGCTCCGTAAATATTTGTGAATGTAAATTGTTTTCCTGGTAGTAACAGGCATTTTGGTAGTAATGTTCCTTTATCCACAAGATACGTCTGCTTATAGTGTTTGTGTTTTTCATGCGGCTTTGGCAGTTGCACATAGGAAAAGAGATGAAAGGTAAGATTTTCTATCCTTACTCCTCTCTTCCTTGTTCCCTGAAATGGTCACTTCAGGAATGATTGCCCCATGTTTTCTGTATCTTACTTGAAAGCATATAAAAGAGTTGGGTTTATTTGCTAGCACTGACCATGGGGCATCTCCTGTTTTATCCTTCCAGGGGACCAGTGAGAATCGGGAAAATTCTCCAGCTGGAGCCCAGCCTGTCCCATGTGAGACTCACTCTGACCCATCTAGAAACCAGCCATCCCTTCAAGCAGCAGCATCTCAGACGCAGAGCAACCCCGCTCACCCTAGCGTGGACCAGCGCCCAGAGGAGAGGGAAGACCAGCAGGCTCAGCCTGCCGCAGGAGGACACTGAGGGGTCTTGCTCATCTCACACCCTGCATGGAACTGGGCTTCTCTGCCAGGACAGAGGGAGAGGTGCCCGAACCTAGGACACGCCTCGCCTTGAGGAGCATAGCACCACATACGCTTCTAAATACCTGAACTCATTAACATGGAAACACACACACACAGGAGCTACAGTACATGTTGGCAGAAACAGGTAAACTTCCGTGACCCGCTGGACTCAGAGGGAGCTGGAGTTGAGCACGGATTCTTTGGTTGGTTAGGGTAAGGACTGCAGGACTTCTCTGCCAGGGCAGTAAGACTTGAAACCAGCAGTTACACTAAGTAGGTGGAGGGGAAGAAGTGCTTCAAGGTGAATGCTGATGTAATTTCCCTCTTCTGATGCTTTATTCTAATTATTTGGTTCTTAATGCAAACTGAGAAGAAACAGAATACATCTATAATTTTGTTTCTCTTGAAGAGAGCCATTTAAAAAATTATAAAACAGGTTTAAAAATTAACCAGATAAAAGTTAGTAGCATATATGCTTTTGTTTAAAAAAAAAGGAAAATATTTCATCAGAAACTTGGCATATCTCTAGCAAGTATATTTTTCTATGTGGATGGTATAGAATGAAAATAGTCAGTTCTTTGGGCAGCAAAAGCTGTCGTTGACTACTGCAAGCTAAGCTGAGCTTTAAAATGCCTTTTGTTTTAAATGGGCTTTAAGACCAGAGGAGAGAATATTTCAAATCAACCAACCAACTCAGTATCCTGTGGCTTGATAGAGAAGGGTGTACTAAATATATTGATACTGTAAATAGCCTCTATCACTATTTACAATTTTATAGTGATTTGGGCTCCAATTAGCTGATGGAGTAAAACAAACAAAAAATCAATGAGTTCCTAAGGGTTTCCTTAATTAAGCAGTACTATTTACAAACAACAGTATAAGATTTAAGTGCCTGGGGTGGGGATACGATTTTTTAAAATTACATAATGGGTCAGTTTTTGTTTTGTTTTTGGTGAGGGGAAAAGGTGGGGATTAAGAAACCAGGAATGGAAAGGACAGGAATAAGAAGGAACTATACTTTCCAATGAGTAAAGAAACAGATCTCAGTATATCCTTTCCCCTGAAGACACGGTCAGACACTGGACAGCTCAGATAGGGTGTGCCACTGTAAATATTACAGCTCCAGTCAGAATAATGGTGGGGTGAACCACACAAAGCTGGCTGCTAAAAATGAAAGCTGAGGTTGGTAGGAAGCCTTGGGGAGGGCTTGGAAAAGGGAACACCGCTTTAGCTGAATGAGGTCAAGGACAGCACGTACAACAGCTGTGGATGAGCAAAGGCGAGAGGAAAGAGAAGAACAGAGCTAAAAATGAGCAACCCACCTTACCCTCTGACCCTGCCTAGACAGGATCAGTTGTAAAGTGAGGGCTTCTCCATGACGCCACACTTCTGCCCAAAAGTGCATCTGGGAGAAGAAGTTCTGCACTTGGACGTTTTGCTTCACCACAAAACACAGCTTAAAAATAAAATAACAGGAAGAAATAGAATTACGCAAATAGTTATTTTTGCACTTGAACTGAAACGTACTGTACTGTAACTTATCATGACTCATTTTAAGTGACCTTTAAAATCAGATGTATTTATTATGCTTATGTAATTATAGAAATAAAGAAATGGGTGACGGGCTGAACCTCATCTATGAATGTACAGTATGTGGATTTGTGAAACTGACTGTAGAAAGTCAAAAACTTACACTGTATCTTGTGTTTACAGCTCTGATTTATTCCTTTGAAAAGCCTGCTGTTTTGGAAATGCACAGTTGACATGTTGAAATAAAAATAAATACCATTTTTAAATATTTCTTAAATGATAAAGATGTGACCAAACAAATAAAAGTCCTTCACTCTGTAATGAATGAGACCAAGTTCAACAGGCCTTTGTTAGGAAATATCTACCGTGAGATCTGTTTCAATAATGCAGTAATTTCCAGCCTTTTAAAGTGGGCAGCTTCTTGGTTTTGTGGACTGTGTGACTTTTTCTTCCTGTCCTCAAAGTGCCATATGCCATTTATAAAATATTAAAGTCAATTCAAATTAAATTTTGATTTGAGAATTTTATAACCCTGCTTGTAATTCCTGGAAAGACCCAGGGTGAAAAGCCAGGCTGGTAATCACTGCCTTAGTGACTGACTTCATACTCTTTCCCCTGTGACTGTAGAAAAAGTGAGTTCCTCCAGAGTGCACAGCTTGTGTGGATCCAAAGAGGCTCGTTGCTCATTATTAAACCACTACTCAAAGCCTTAAGTAGAATAATAGATGATCATCTATCTCCACCAGCCAGTAAACCACAGGAAAAGCCTAAGGAATTCATAGGAAGAACAACGCCGCTTTCCTGGCTTATTAGTCCTCCGTGGGCCACATGAAGCGGATAGTTGGCTAAGCGCTGCCCTCTGATTTTCGGTTCCTCCTCTGGCTGGGATGGTGGCTGCTGGTGGGGCTGGGACCATTCCTTAAGCAGTATCTCTTGAAGCCAACCTGGAATTAGCAGTGAATCCCAGAAAAGGGAACCACATCCATAGTTCCTGGGTACTTGTATGCTGATGAGATTATCATTTTGTCCTTACAACCCAGCGTGGTACATGTCACTGTCCCTGTTTTATTTTTCTTAAAGCTTCAGTCCGTGGCCATGTATCCTAGTTTTATGTGAGCTGCTGCCACAGTATGACAACTGACAGACAGGTGGTGTGGTTCCAAGACCGGAAACGAACCCATGCCGCGGCAGTGAGAGCACCGACTCTTAACCACTAGACCACCAGGGCCGGTTCACCTATTTTAAATAGGATTCTAGAGCTAACAGAGCTTACATTATGGGACCAAGGAAACAAAGCCAGGATTCAAGCTCAAACCTGCCTGATGCCAAAGCCCAGGTCCACCCAGCACCTTACTGCACCCCAGGAGGTGGGGAAGCCTCCTTGCTTCTGTTGTGGTAGAACAAGCCAGAAAGCAGCCCTGGCCTGAACCCTTACCTTGTGTACCCGATACACATATGCGTGTGGTTGTATTTCCATTTGGATTTCTAGATATCCCCAAATACCTAGAAATCCAGCACCTACAAACTCCTGATGCTTTGTTAGTTGTAAGGCCAGGCTCCTTACACTCTGGAGGTGACCTGGATGGTTTGGCAGCCCCGCAGAGAAAACTCCGAGGTTGGCCGGGATGCTGAGGACCAGTGCCACGGGAATCATGAAGGGCAGGCAGACACCCCACTGCTCGGCGTCCCGAGGCAATGGCATTGTACAGTGGCACTCTCTGGTATGGTGGCCATAAGCCACAGGCAGCTCTTAAGTACAGGCAGTGTGGCTAGCGCATCTGAGGAATTAGGTTTCTCGTTTTATTGAAATAGCCACATGTGGCTCATGGTGCCCAGACTGGACAGTGCAGGTACAGAGGAAGAGCTCACCTGTGGGACATCTCTGGGCCTTTTCCTCATCTTCAGCATGAAGGGCTAGACCGACCCTAAAGTTACGTTATTCTGAAAATACAAGACTAAACAAACATACAAAAATTTTTACACTGAGAAGGTGAGGGCCGGCTGTGACAGAGCCGTCAGGGAGTAAAGCACTGGCCAGCAGATCCACTCAGAAGACAGATCTGCGAGGGGTCAGATTGTAATAGCATGCTGCTCAGTGGACGGAAAGCACAAAGGGAGCTGGCTATATAATTCTCGTGTTAAAGTAATCAGGCCAAAAAGTCTCACGCAAACATCCCCCAGGAGGGCCGGCCTTGCTGATGTGATGATACCCAGTCTGCTGGCAAAGACCACCCCTTCCTTTATGCGGCCTGCCAACTTTTCCTCTGTGACTGCTGTTTTCTAATCTTGTTGTTGACCGACCTCCGCACGCCCCTCTAGTGGGCATGTTCTTTATTCAGATATGTTAAAATCTTTGGTCTTTCTCTGGCTTAGGAGTCTAGTGTCTTTTTAAGAAAACTTTGTGTACTTTTGCTGTGATCCCTGAGTGTGCTGCCTTAATAGGTCACCAGAGATTTGGGATGATTGCATATTTACCAGGATAAATCTTGGAAATGCATTCAGTGGGATAGCTGCTTTCATTTGTTGTTTTAGTAATTTAGGGGATCTGTTTGCTTTTTAGATTTGGCCCATTTTCCAAAAAGGCAGTGATCAAGAAGAGAAAGAGGAGGAGTACCAGCATTACTGGAAACAATCAGGTGTTGTAGAGGCACTTTCTATGCCTCTTCCTTTGAATCTCCCAACACCCTAGTATGTTTTAGTAGTATTTCGATTTTATAGCTGGGGAAAGACTCAGAGAAGGTTGCTGGAGGACATATATGGCTCAAGTGATAGAATCAGGATTTGAGCCCCAGTGTATCTGCTTCCAGGACCCTCGTTCTTTCTACTCCCCTTATTGCCATCTTAAAAAAAAAAAGTTAGTCAAGGAAATGGCCCCATGGCTAAATCACTCGAGATGAGGATGTCTTCTGATCTTGTGCAAATGCCAATCACAGGTGCCTTGAGGCGATGTGTGGCATAGACAATGGTTCACAGATGTACAGTGCAGTGACCAAAATCAGATTCTGAATAAGGCCAAGAGTCACACCACATGGTTAACTCATCAATGTCATGCCACTCAGTGGGGTCTCTTGGAAGGCAGCTTGCTCCTGGGGTCACCTAAAAATACTCTTGTCTTCCTGCAGGCTTCTTCAAAATGCCACATCCATTATGTTACCTATGCAAAAGATCTTTCAGTTGGACAAAAAAAGCTGATTTAAAAAACTGTACTTCTCTAACTCTGGGGAATAATCATATAGAATATAAAATCTTTTCTTGACATAATTTCAGAGGTCTTAATTCATCCACGCTTATTGATGTAACCTATCATCCATTCCAAACCTGTTAAAATCTAAAACTTCTTAAATTTCTAGATTTAAAAAAAAGTCATAAATTCAAATATTGTCCTAAATGTCAGATGGACACCCCCCCCCCCCAATAACTCAGCCCTAAGTATTATTGGCAAACTATACAACTAATTCACAAAGCATTTTTTGTGATACGTAAAATGTGTTTTAAAACCTTTTAAAAATAGCATTTGAATGATACAATTGTTTAAGCATGGCCACCTACGCCTCATGTCACCCACACATTTTGGTGTCAAATAGTCCAACTTGCTAACAACAGTCAGCTTTTGTGAGGCACACAGGGTAAGCAATACCACAACAAAGGGTCCTGTTATGCTCCATAATGGCACACCTATGGCAGTGCGAAGCACAAGTCCAACTTCCAACCACCTGTGAAGGGCAGAGACATTTTACTGAAAGGTCATTTAAACCATTTAAATGCCTTTACATAAAGAAAGGGAGGAGGGGGAGAGAGAGAGAAAGAAAGGGAGGAAGGAAGAGAGAAAACAGATCTCTTAAGGGAGTTATCTGTATATTGCTTGATGGGGATCAGAACTGTAATCAGTGCTATTATAAACCCCAAGTCAAATGAACACAACAGAAACACACCAACCATATCACAAATAATGCTTTTAATTGTTTAGCTTCTCACAGTACTCATATAACAGAAACTGACAAATTCATGATTTCCTCTAAAAATAAAATGAAAAACAATATCCCGGAAGACTGTTGCTCTTTTTCTCTCTCCTTAGCAGTTTTTATTGTGATGGTTGCACCTAGCTTGTTGGCCCACTAGGAGCTGCTTCCTCCTGTCATCAGCATCGCTTCACCCTGGCTCAGGTGAAGCCCAGCGGCTGTCCCGGCTGGAAGGTCCCCTGGGACTGAGCAGACTGTTCGTGTGTTATCCACACACACATGCTGTGGTTCACAGACTGCCTCTTGGAGGTGAACGTGGTGAGCACAGGCATCTGATACATTTATAATATATCATCAATAAATATAATATTATAAAAAACAATCAGATTAAACGATAACCAAAATGATGCTAGAACTGTTTACACTTTTAAAACAGTCAACATCATCATCACCTATCTGAATGGAAGACACCTTCTTTGATCCTTTTAAAGCAAAGTGTCTGTGAAAGCACAGATTGAATTTAGTGTGTTTCACAAAAATAGCAAAGCTCCTAATAGTAAAAGGTGTCTGGCAAAAACAGAGACCTGTACAACACTGACACTCTGCTTCAAAGAGAAAATAGCATTTGAAAGTCAATCTAGAAAGTTCCAAATGGGTAGCCACACTCTTTTTCAACAATTTAGAAAAACTCTACCAAATTTGGCTCAGGAAAGCAGTGCCCACATTATCTATATGTCCCTGCTCCACAGCCCTTCTTCTAGTAAAAGGAGATTCCTCATTCTTTATGCCTCTATTCTTTAGGATCCCACCAATAAGGCCTGAGTTAGATTCTTAAAGATAATCAACTTAGCAACATCTTAGCCCTGAGGGAGCTTTGCCATGTCAGATCTTGTCTCAGACATATGTTTTGGCCTCCTTTCCTCAGGTTAGTCCCTCACTTCACTGGAGTGTTCTCTGTAAGAAAGATCACAAATCTGTTTTGTAGGAAATTGTTAGAAACATATAACTAGACAATTTTTTTTAAGATTGGCCCTGAGCTAGCATCTATTGCCAATCTTTTTTTTTTTTATCTTCTTCTCCCCAACCCCCCCAGTACATAGTTGTATATTCTAGTTATAGGTCCTTCTGGCTCTGCTATGTGGGGCGCCCCCTCAGCACGGCTTCATGAGTGGTACTAGGTCTGCACCTAGGATTCGAACTGGAGAAACCCTGGGCTGCTGAAGCGGAGCACGCAAGCTTAACCACTTAGCCATGAAGCCGGCCCCCTAGATGATTTTTTTAAATGGACCAGTCAACTCAAAAGGTCCCAAGAGTGCCTTTAATTTAAATGTACAAAAATATATAGAAAGTAATTCTAATTTCTAATCCTTATATTTGTCTATAAAAGTCTTATCAAAACTTTAAAATACAATACAGGAAATGTTCCTCTTTATCACAGTTATCAAATAGCTAGTTGGCCATTAGTAAAAAAAATAAAGTCACCAATACTGTGAGACGCAAGGCTGTAGGGAGATGGCCCCTCGGGTCACCTCAAAAGGTCTCTTCTTCTACCTGAGTCATAGGAAACAATGGGACTGGAATTCTGGTCGCAGTGCTGCCTCTCAATAGCTTTGTGGTCATGGACAAGTTATGTAACCGCCCCAAACCTCAATTCCTCCATCATTAGCATTTTCCAAACATGTTCCAAGGAATATTAATGTCATGAAAAAGGGTTCTGTGGTCGAATTAAGTTGGAAACTGCTGCACACAATTTCTCTTTAGTAGATTCACAATGCACACTGGCATTATTAAAGGCTCTGAGAAGTCCTGCAGTACATTTGTTTAACTTTGTATCAATCTTAGTTGACCTCAGAATCCCTTTACTGAGTAACACTTAATAGCATCCTGTGGACTATACTTTGGAAAACACTGGTCCAGCATAGCTCAGGTCTCTTCCAGCACTTATACTGATAACACGTAGGAAGAGCAATGCAATCTTTTGACATAGGTTCTAGGGATTAAGAGAATATTTAATGCCCTGGTGTTGCCAAGGCACCTATTCATGCTAACTGGCCCCCTGAAGAACAACATGATTCCCTTTTTCCTAATGATAGTCTGCATTCAAGGAAAGTGGTGATGACTCTCACAAATCTTGGCAGCCACCCGTGGTACAGTAAGTAGCAGAACTGGCCAAGAATGATAAGTTATCTTCAGTATTGTATAGTTTCAGTTTTCTTTTCCAGAATGACATGATTTTTCTCCCTAGCAAACGCTTTTGCCACTGTCCCCTAGAACGGTTCTGCCCACTAACAGGATCCCTGCCCTTTACCCACTTCCTTGTCCGGAATGAAGTCAGTGCGCAGGTAGACTGTCAGTCCTCAAGTTAAAGAGCTGCTCTTCCAAGAAGGCACCCCCAAGGCCGTACTGTTCTTCATGAAGACTGATCTCTTCAGGCGACAAGTGGCTTCCTCCAAGAACAAAGTCTGCAAACCTAATAAGTTTTTTCTTGTTTTCAATAAAGTTACTGTTATCACAGAAGGGTTTATTTGGAAGATAACATGTTCCCTTGCTACTTATCCCTTTAATTAAATTTGACTTTGCATCAACAGAGGACGGTATTTACACCCTGGGAGTGAAGACGGGAAAGGCTTATGCGATCCCTCTGGAGACACTCAGGGGAAGGGCAGAGAAGCAGGCGAACCCCTAAGCACTGCGGACCGCCAAACATACCTACTCCTGCTTTCTAATGCCTTCTCTTCTCTCGCTCTTCTTAGATTTATTATGCATTCATTATGTTGGTGTCAATACTTTTCGCCTTCAATATTTAGTTGGAAGGCATTGTTCTTGGGATAAAGCTATAAAGAAGGGAAGGATGTCGGGGCAGAGAGATCTTTCTTGGTAAACTTTGAAAGTTATTTTCCACACTAGCAGAATGAGAAGCAGGTGACACATCCCATTCCACCTTTCTCCTTCCCATATGGAAGTTACCTTTATGGCCGGCCCTATAAAACGCAGCAGATCAATATTTATTCTGGGCAAGTCAGAGCACTCAAGAACAGGAACCTCTGGCAGCTCCCACACCATCTGTTATCTAGGGAAGTAGTCTGCTTCTAGTCAGCAATATCTGTACCAAACCATCACATTATTTTTACATAATTCTAACCCAGGTTGTGGTCCAAGCAGCTGAGCAGCGCTTACTTTTTAGGAGCCTGGAGTCTGGAGACGGCCAGCCACGATGGGAAGTCAGGCCTGCGGCAGGCTTGGCGCAGCCCCTCCAGAGCAGTGGTTGTTTCAGCTTCGGCTTGTTCCCTGTACTCGTCTTCAGTAAGACGCTTAACCACCAGCTTTTCTGATGTGAACCAGTTCTTCATTTTCCTAAAACATGTGGCATTTGGTTGCTAGGTTCCTGGTCATATGTGATTGGTCAAGTCAACCCTTGAGATTTGTAAAAATACATTTCTTAGACAGTAATCTTTAACTTCCTTTATATCATACTATATACTTTTTACTGCCGTTACCGTGACTGAGGTACACAGAACATGCAGTTCGAGCCTGCTGGGACATTTCCCCTCTTCCTGGACCATCCTGAATAACGTCCTAAGGCATCTGAGAATCAGTTTCTGATAGAGATGTTAACTGTATTTTTCTTCCTCGGTGATTTCTAAACACAGTCAGACAGTTACAAGTCTGCTTTCTTTATGCCTGGCCTGCTGACTTTCTCGGGCACTAACAGAAGCTGGCCTTTGAGATGTCCTTTTTTGGAGACCCAGTAGGCTCACTCGCCACCTCCTCTCTAGACGGAAAAGCACAGATTTGTGGGACATCGCCTCCCCCTAGTGGTGGTGATGCTGACTAATCCCAGGGAAAGGGAGTCAAGATTGTACAAGGTTGTGTTTGTACAATAATTGCTAACGATTCTTCCTTTGCTACATGCTGAGGGGCTCGTGATTGCACTATTTTTTCCCAACCAGGGAAATCCCAAAGGGAAGAATCTCGTAAAAATAGTAATGATGATAGGGTTTTAAAACATGTATGATATATTTATCAGAGTTTTTAAAAATGTTATTGTGTGGTTTTAAATTTAATTTAACCAGAGATTCCCAAGTTTGAGTGAACATCAGAGTTACCAGGAGGTTTTTTAAACATATGTTTTCTTGAGGTTTGGGACCTGAAAAATCTTTTCTCGTTTGAAGATTGTCTGGTGTTTGATGAGCTGGATTAGGGAACCGCTGACATTCTCTCCTTCCCCTTTTCTGGATGCCCAGCCTCGTCTCCCTAGAGGAGAACCCTGGCCTCCGAACAGAAGACGGGCACAGTCCTGCCTTTGAGGCTTACCCACTGCATCAACCGGGGCAACTCCTGAGCAGTTCTGAGCCTCACTTTGCTCGTATGAACAAATGAAAGCAGCGACATCTACCTCATGAGGTCACTGGACGGATTAAACGAGGTACTGTGAGCAAAGTGCTTAGTTCAGTGAGTAGCCTACAGTATGTGTGCAATAAGGAGAATCAAAAGAGTAGCTAGCATATATTATTAAAATATGTTCAAACAGCTGTTTGCAAAACTAGAAAGTACTTCACAAATCAAGGTATTATTTCTCTGGCTTATTATTTAACCCATATGTTCCTGTTTTACCTCCTAGTTATTCACATAATTATTCACCAGCAAAATGAAAAGTTGAGGAAGTTATAATACATTTTGATTATTACATTCATGTTAGCAGAATGCACAGCAAGTACATAAAAGAACCATCATGCAGGTGACAGAATACACTTTGCTCTTGGCAGGGCGGCTGGATGTTTAAAGGGAAAGAGAAAGGAATTCTGTCCTGCCTTCCCCCACCCACAAACCTGGCAAAGGAGCAGAGGCCTGGAGGACGTGGAGTGGCCAGCCTCCTCCTGGCAGAGGGACCGTGGGGAATCCCAGTCACTGTATGCCTCTGAGACGGGGCAAAGAGAACCAGCCAGCACCGGCCCTCCGACCTGGTGCTGGGGCCTTTCAGCCTTGCCAACGTCCTCTGCATAGGGGCCCTGTCCTGTGACTGGTGCATTTTTAACCCTGTGACATCTGCCACACAGGCAGTCACCAGACCCATAAACTACCAGTTACCACAGACTCTCCCTCCTCAGAGCCACGTTTACCTCGTAAATATTAACTCCCTCTGCCAGTCTTGGTGTCACTGTCCTCCTCCAGGCCCTCATCCGCTCTTGCCTGGATCACTGCAATGTCTGATAACTGGTCTCCTGCCCCAGGGGCTCCCCTTATACCATCCTCCTCCATGCCAGAAGCCAGAGGGCCCACATCCTGCCACCCAATGAGGTTCATGGTCTCTGCTCTGATTTTTGCTTGTTGACTGTATTTTTATTTTCAGAATATTTGTCAACATTTAAAAATAATGAGAATTCACATTCTAATCCTCATTCCCAGATTTTCTAGAAAACCAACAGATCTGGCAAGGCAGGGCCCATATTCTCACCTGGCAACAATCAGCTCACGCTGAGCGGTAATTGCACCCTGTTCAATGAGGCTCCAATGGAGAATTTCCCACAATCCTCATGATTGACCCACTGCCTCGCCCCTGTTCGGCATGACTCACTCAGTACCTGCTGGGGCCCCAAGCATTTGGATTTATAACGCTTGTCTAGGCAGGAGTCAGAGAGGGCTGGCTAAAACGCACAATGGTTCCCTGCCTGTACCATGTACACGATCACACTAGATTCCTTAGCATGGCCTACAAGGCCTCCACAACCTGGCCAATGCCCGCCTCACTCACTGCCTCATGATGGTACCAAACTAGGCTTTCTCCTTGTCAGGAAAGTCCTTCCCACATTTATTCATCTGGCTGTTTTGATTTATTAAGATTCAGTCCAGTAATAGCTCCTCCAGAACCTTTCCTGAACTTTCTCTATATGCCAAAGTCCCTGGGCAGGCTTATTTTAACATTTCAAAGATACAGAAATGTGTGCCTATGACTCAACCAGTACACTTAAGGGGAGGGACCCTCTCCTTCATCTGTGCACCTGACACAAAAACAGGTGCTTGGACTCAATGACTGAGGAGACATCATAAAGCTGTGACAAGAGAGGTTACCTCATCTTTCTTTCTGTATTTTCGAAGGGCTTGAGCCTTAAGTTAAAATCTAAGAGGAAAGAAAATCCTAAATATAAATAATACCTTTCAATCATTTATGATTCATTTCTGTTCCCTCACTCATTTCATAAGTACAACAGGTAACCCTAAGGCAGCTGTGGGCCCTGATAATAAGAGGAAATGCAGAATAAAAGTAGAAATTGTGGGCAACCCAGAGCCCAAGCAATTGTGCCTCTGATTTTACTGAATTCTGAGTGAGCTGTAATTACCTAGGAGCTGGCAGTGCACCTCTGAAAGACGAATGAGGACCAGAAATGGAGATAGGATCAGATGTGTAAGTTCTCTAGCCTCCCCCTCTCTCCGAGGGAAATCTCTAGATGAAACGTGGTTAATTATGAGATTAAATATGATGTGTACAAAATATCCCCCAAAATGATAAATAAAACCAGAACTCAAAATGTCACATTCACAAGGAAAATAAAAGATACGCACCGCCTCATATAACAGAAAGCTTTCAGTGGGTAGTGCAGACCCCAGGAGCACAGGAGGAGGATGATGACCACGTAGGAGAACTGAGGCACGGTGACCCCACAATAGATGAGAAGCAGGGAAAGGAGCTGCAGAGTCCACGTCAGAAGATTTATGCTCCTCTCGTCAGCAAGGGGCCCACGTTTGTAACAAACAGCAAAACTGAGAAATCCAACCATCAAGACATAGCCTGTAAGCAGAAGAATGCAAAACAATATAAATCTGAACTTGAAAAGTTATGTGCAAATGCTGGCAGAGCCTTGACTTAGAGCTAAGAACATATCAAGAAATCTTCATTTTTGTTTTCGTTTTCCAATGAAGTCAGGTTGAAAAACACACGTTGAGCTAGTTATTCCTTCCATGTGAGATACGAGGCTGACTTCTCTAATAATGAAGCATGTATAATAATAAATTATGATGACGTATAAGTGTGTCTGTTTTTCAGCCCAGAGTCCTAGATGGGCAAATGTCATCATGGTTGCTTTGCTCAGGAAAAAGCCTCAGCATATATCACCGTCAGCTACAAACCTTATTTTGTATTTTCACTTTCTAGTCACCAAAGGAAAATGTAATTGTACAGCAGAGAGATCAGGCTGACCCTCCTAATCCAGCGCTCAGTGTCAGCATCAGTAATGGAGGGACGATGAGATATTCTGTGTCCCCTGTCATGATGCAATGCGACCCACACATCTCTTATGTGTTCCACCAACAGCGTTTCATTTGTATCTAAGCAGCCTCATGTCTAATTTCCAGTTTAGGAGATACAGAGGAGAGAGAAACTAGTTAAATTATACCACAAAGGAGTAATCACAGAAATCCAGAAAGTGACAGGACAACTAGGTTGGTCTCTCCAGCATATCACTGTGATAAAAAAGGAATTGTTATGGATTAAAAGAGACTTACTGGATATAATACATGCAAACTATGGTTCTCGACCACATCCTAGCTTATACAAAACAACTATCAAGGACATTTTGAACATGGTCTGCGTAAAAGATGGCCTAGGTAATAGATGATTTTATGTAATTATTAATTTTTGTATATTTAATAGTTATTTAACTATAGAGGAGAACGCTCGTTCTTTAGAAAAGCTTAGTAAAGTATTTAAGGCAACATACGATGATATCTATAATATACTTTAAAATACTTTAGCATAAAAAGAAAAATGAGCTAAAAACTAAAATCTTCAAGTAAAACAAAAATTGTTTTTGTTTTGGGTAGGTGGACTTATGTGAGAAATACGGTGCTAAGGGTTTAGGAGAAACTAGATTCTTCCATTCTTCATTATTTCCCAATTAAAACAAACAATTTTAAATAGTTGTTTTTTGTTTTTGGTAATATGAAACAAGAAGAACAAGCAGTTTCTTAATATCCTGCTTCTGAAAAGTCAAGTTTTCATTAGTCATTTATATTTTGGATTTCTTACTTTTCATACTGAATACATAAAGAAATGAAGAGCCATATTTTAGAGAAAGTTTTTCATTACAGATTAGATGTGGTGACAGCTTAACCACAATTCAAAAGCATATGCAGTGAAGAGAGACAAATACTTTTTTGCTCTTTTGATCATTAGTACAGAAAACTAAGGAAGACATCACAGGGAAATAGTCTAAAATGAGATCTAACGAACTGAAATCACCAACTATGGGAAGAAAATAAAATATTACTTTTAACAGCACTTCTCCTTAGTTTAAAATGAAAATGTAGATGCTGGAGAGAAATGTATGTCAAAAGAAGGCCTCCAGTTGTACTTTTCAGCTTTACCAATAATAGACCGTATTCTTAAACATTTACCTACCTAATATATATATTCTGTTTTCATACCACAGCCACTTCAGATCTTCCATCAGTTGGCACACAACATAAACTGAAGCAAACCAACAACCAACCATTAGAGCCCAAAACGTGCTATACTGTGTGTGGAAGAAAATAAATGACACAGTTTTTGGTTCATTCACTCTCATAAAAATAGAAATAAACAAATAAACTGTTTGTATTAGAAACTTCTACATAAACTGCACTGAAGTCAATTCAAGATACTCTCTGGAGTCTTGTTAAAGGTGTGGTCCACGAACCAGCAGCATCAGCATCACCTGGGAGCTTGCTGGGATGCAGACTGTCAGGCCCCACTGCAGACTCCTGACTCAGAATCTGCATTTCAACAGCATCCCCAGGTAACTGGCATGTACATTAAAGCTGGAGCAGCACTGCTCTAAACAAGAAATTTATCTCAAAGTATTGCTGGTGTTGCAAGCTTTAATCAGAGCAACTGCAACATTATCATCATGAGCTAGTATTTACTTATTCTCAACTAAGTGCAGGGCATCCTTTTACTGAAGGTGTGCTGGGGAACTAAGAATAATGAGGAAATCCCCAGATGTAGCAATGCTGTCATTCAAGGCCCTGACGCTTCAGCATCACGATATTCCTCAGCTCTGCCAAGATAAATTTCCACTCAGCACAGAATCAGCCCCTGTCACTCATAAGAAAAACATATTACCTAGAATTAATAAAAAGGTCTCAGAAAAAGTATTGCCAAAACTTAATTAGTTAAGCCTGTGTATAGTAACAAATAAAAATGGAATCTCCAGAAAAAGATGTATTTTAAAACCAGTTTATAGAATGTAGAAATATGGTTTGAATTAGGAACTGTCCTAATCAATGTGACTTAATTTTGATCAGTGTTTCATGTCTATGAGATCACGGTTTCCATTTTTTATTCATTTGTACATAGTATGCCTACCTTAGGAATGAACCTTTTCACCAGCAGGAGGACAAAGACTAATGTCATTAGAACTCCTAGCACGGTCCCAGAAGAGTAATAGAAAATAGGGCTTCTGTCAAGACAAGCAGATAAAAGCCATTTAAATGCCAAGTCACACTTTCGGTATTAAAAACATGTTTAACTTGACGACAGTAGCCATAAAGAATACTAGGAAGAAAAACTCAGATGGTGGCTTTAATTACATCCTAAACTGTTAAAAATGAAATCTGTACTTGAAATTTATGGTAAATAGCTTGCCACTAACTCAAAACAAAAAGTCTGAGTTATAGTCTATGCTCAGAATCTGATCCAACAATAACTATTGAGCACTATCATGTAGCAAGCACTTGTCTGACAGCTTTCCGTGCGTTCACAACAGCCCTGTGAAACAGCTATCCGTGCCTAAATTCTACAGGGGAGGAAACTAAGGCACCAAGAAATTAACGATTTTCCTTCCCCAATCTTCCACATCTGCTAACTGGAGGATTCAGGCTTGCAGCCCAGCTCCTCTGGGTCCAGGCTCTACTCCACAGGCTATGTAAGCAATATCCGGTTTATAAAAACCATGGATGATGTTAAAAACACTTGATTACACAATGAACAACGTTAAGAACAGCAAGCTAAAAAGTAAAATATTATTGGATAGAGTTTTTTTTTTTTTAAAGATTGGCACCTGAGCTAACAACTGTTGCCAATCTTCTTTTTTTTTTTCTGCTTTTTCTCCCCAAATCCCCCCAGTACATAGTTGTATATTCTAGTTGTGGGTCCTTCTAGTTGTGGCATGTGGGACGCCACCTCAACATGGCCTTGTGAGCAGTGCCATGTCTGCGCCCAGGATCCGAACTGGCAAAACCCGGGGCCACCGAAGCAGAGTGTGCGAACTTAACCACCCAGCCACGGGGCCGGCCCCCCAGAGATTCTTTTTTCACAAGAAGTTATAATAAACAAAATACCAGGAAAATATGTTTATCTGAGAATCAGATATTTATTAAATTCAGCCTTCTATATCAGAGCCAGAAATCTTGGAGGCAGCTCAAATGTAATAGAGCAGGCATCTGGCATCAGAAACCATGAGTGTAAATCTCAGCCCTGGCAAGAACGTCATGTGATTATGGATGTTGGTTTTCTCATCTATAAAATGAGAACGCTAATACAGAGCTCACACAGTTGTTAAGAGGATCAAATAAAATAATGTATACCGTATTAATATGTAATACAAAATAATGTATGTGAAAGCCCTGTGTGATATATACATATCACACTATACAAATAACTGTTTTTGGTTTTAAAGGCCTTTCAAGCAGTATCTTCAGACCTATTGTCTGCAAAACGTAAATCAAGAACTACAAACTAGTGTGGAAATATTTAGCATAGGGTCCTTTACTCTTTTTCATTAACAAAGTTAAGAAAGTAAAAATGAATACTTACCTACTCAAGGTCTTTGCATAAAAGAAGAGGAAAACGCCTGCCAAGAACACAAGGAAGAGTTTGAAATCCACAGCTGGAGTAAAAAGACACAAACACACGAAGATTTTGTGTCAATGCAGTGTTAGTGAAAGAAGAGAAAAGTCCACTTATTGAAACGTCACTCCAGAAAAACTGAATCCAGAAAGTGAAGTATAACAAAAACAGACTTACTGTTTCGAGTCACACTTATTGTATAGACAAATGTCTTCCTGGCAGGCTTCACAGAGAAGCACACGGTCTTCCCATATGGATTGATGATGAGGGTTATTTCGTTAGTCTCCGTTGGTGTCCAAAAGTTATGAATCACACATTTGATAAAAGCTAGAATGGTTTCTGGATACTGGCAACTATGTCTTTCTGTGATATATACAATACTGAGCAGGCCTGAACTGGTAATTTTCATCTACAAAACAAGAACAAAAAACCTCACAAACACAGCAGTTAAAACTTCTTAGAAGCTTCTTAAAATCATGAGCAGAGGAGTATAGAGAGCCCAAGATGGGGTGAGAAAAGAACACTCAGATGTACGTGATAAGGTTCTGAGCCCAGGAGCGGACCAACAGATGTGTGTTTATTTCAAACACAGGCTGGACCACACTTCTGAAAGTGGATGTTTCTTCTCAAGTTGTGGCTAACTCCCTCTTCTGGCAAGTTATTGTGGCCAAGGGACATATAACAAGAATGATAGAAAGTAATAGGTGGCAAACTATTTGATTATGAACATAATGAGAATAGGGTTTATATCTCTACCATTTTCTACTGCAATTGAGAAAAAGTGCTTCCTTCTTCTGGATCAGCAGAGCATACATAATTCCGGCTTCTCTCACCATGCCACCTGAGGGAGGACCAGAACCTCAGGTCCTATTCAAGTCTCACAACAAAGCACTAGCTATAGTGCCAAGCAGATGGTGACAACCCAGTGATCATTGTATGACAACTCTCTGCTGCCTTTGTCCCTTTCTGCTTCTTCTTTGTCCCAGTAGGGCAAGCCTGGAAAGGGGAGTGAGAGCACCACCTCTGAATCTCAGGCAGCAGGTGATATCACCCTCTATGTGTCCATCTGTCTATCTACCCCTCATCTCTCTTGGACTTTAGTGCCTAGCTAACTGTTGCTCACTCAATACTACTTCCTGTCACACTTCCAGGGATTCAACATACACAGCAAACTCCTTCCAACACCCTGGCCTCTCAGTTCCCTGAACTCTCTCTCTGTATGCCCTTGTCCTCCACCCACCTCAGCTAATCCCTCCCATGGCCACACCCTGGATCTTGTCAGTACCAAACTGCAGCCCCTTTACAGGCTGCGTTTCACGTGTCCCACTGGCTGACCACTACCTCCTATCTTTCCAGCGTGCCCCTTCTGGCACCCTGACCCCAGCAGGCCTTTGACCCCACCATGGATCAAGCATCTTTCCCAGCTTTCCCCTGCTCCTCACAGGGGATATATCCTTAGCCCCTTCTTATCCAGCTAAATTCCATGATCAATCATAAATCACTCTCTTGCATGTTCCCTTGACTCCTTCGCACCCCTCTTGCTTTGTCACACCCACCAGCAAAATCCAACCCTCCACCTATTCCAATCTTGCATTTGCACCACCAAATGAGCCGGAGAAACACACAGTGCTCTCACTTCAAACCCATGACTGGAGACCTGAAGAGGGACCTGAAGCTGCAGGCAATCATACCACATATTCCTATCTAGTTTTTCTTCAACAACGATTTCACAACTTCTCTTTCCTCAACACCCAACACTTCCTCCCTCCTCACTCCTCACTCCTGGCTGATGATCTTCTTACGTCACTGATGGCTGATGATCTTCTTACGTCACTGAAAATGGAAGAAATCGGAAGAGAATGTCGACCAGGTCCTATCGTTGTATTCACCCACCTGTCAGCATCTGCTGGCATATGCTCTGCTTCTTGCCTGTGGGGAGGAACCTTCTGCCACAGAGACTGACATGCTCCATTCTAAAAGCAAGCCCCTCACTTGTGCACTGGATCTGATCCCCCTGTGCCTACTCAAGGACATCGCCCCAGTAACTTCTTCCCTTTCTCCTACACTATTCCTATCAGCATACAAACATGTTGATATTTTTCGCACTAAAAAAACCCAAAAAGCCTTCTATTAACTCCACTTTCCCCTCCAGCTATGACCCCATTTCCTTGCTTCCCATTGCAATAAAATTATTTTTAAAAGTTGCCAATATCTGCAGTCTCCAGTTCCTCTCCTCCCATTCTCCCTTTAACCCATTTCAATCAGGCTTCCATTCCCAACAGGCTGCCCTTGACAAGGTCTCCAGTGGCCTCCATGTTGCTAATTCAAAGAGCAAATTCCTTCTCAGTCATCCTATTGGATCCGTCAACAGCACTTGGCACTGCCAATTATTCCCTCCTCCTCGTTAGACTTTCTTCCCGGGGCTCCCTGGACATCTCCTTCCTCACTTGCTACTTCTTCTCTCTCTCTTCTGCCCGCCCCTTCCTTCTCCCTGACCTCTTACTACAAGACTGACCCAGGCTCAGTCGTTGGTCCTCTTCTCTTCTCCATCTAAATTTACTCCTTAGTCACAAGGTTTTAAGCACCATCTATAAATATGCATCACAGCTTACTTTTGCAAAAAGAAACACAGGAAGGATATACCCAAAACTAATAAGACTGACTACCTACAAGGGTTGGGTAGGAATGAGTAGAGGAATGAGGGGGAGTGACACTTCTTTGAAAATACTTTTGTGTAGAGTTTTGACTTTTCAGCCACATTAATATTGTACATACTAAAAAATAATGATAATAAAATCAACCAGGATGGGGGAAAATCCTGAAACAGAAATGAATAAAAACAAATAGATTTCAAATGAATAATATAACAACACGGAAGGGGGGGTGGGTGGGAATGAATTAACCCAAGTAACTTTTGAGCACAGTTTTTAGACTACATACACTCAAACTAAAGATAAAACATACTGTAAACATATATTGAACTCCTGTTACTAGGTTTATTTTTTACAATAGTATTGCTTAGTAATTCTGAAATTACTTTCAGTGTTTTCTAGAATTAGGCATATAAATCAATATATTGAGGATAATGGGAACCAAGATTCTCCCTATCAGAGAAGGAAGTTACAAACATGGAAAGGAGGGAGATTAGGATGAACCCAGTGGTACTGGAGATATCAGAACTCATGGTTTTCAACAGATAGAGAGAAATAGATATGTGTGCAGGTGTATAAGTGTGTATATACACATATGACAATGATATACCAGTAGTAATAAACACAACTAACACTAAATGCTCCTTGGAAAAATGTATTATTCCACAGCTGTGTCTAAGAAATTACAAGATAAGCCTGGAACATCTTGTTTGCCAGAAGGTAAAGAAGTGCTCAAATGATAGGACAAGTGTCTACTGAAAGAACTGGCAATCCATGAGACTATGTGAATAAAGATAAATTGGAGGAGGAAAATGTCTTCCCTATAGAAGAATGCCAATGAATGTAGAAGGAATAACATAGTCAGAAAACCACCATTTGATAAACATCATGATGATACTTGATTCAGACAAGCATCATCAATGGATGATAAAACTAGGGGGTGAAAAGTTTGATAAGGAATAGTTTCAATTATTTCCTCAAAATACTCATTTATTACAGAGGGGAAAATAGTCATTTTACAGTGGCAAAATTTTGTAAATTGACAGATACCACCTTAACCAAGTGATCCAAGTGGTGTAAACTATCAGTAATGGTACAAATCAACATCGTGTGCCTCCTGCCATGCTGCCCTAGCTACTCCCTCAGCCTAAACACTCCTTCCCACGTACTCTCTTGGTAACTCACTAACTTCACTGAAATCTTCCTCAAATGTCACTTTCTCAATGAGAACTACCCTGACCACTCTTTTTAATATTATAACTTGTCCCCCAACTCTCCCTTCTTATCTTACTCCACATTTTCTTTTTTCATAGCACTTACTGGTTTCATAATTTTCTTCTCTTACATTTATGGCTTACCCCATCCTACCCACCACCACTGGGAGTATAAACATCACACAAGCACGGTTCTGTTTTGTTCACTGCTGTACCCTAAGAGCCTTGAATAGTTCTCGGCACTTAGTAGGTAATCAATAAATATTTGTTAAATGTTGAATGAAGGAAAGTACTAGGCTATTGAGAGTAACTACTATCTTGGCTACACCTGGGATCAGAGGTAACTTCAGAATTTCTATATAGAGGCACTTGGGGTAGCAATTATTTTGGGAAGCAGGCAAGAGGGTGTTGTCTTGAGCTGTGTCTAAAAAGCAAGCACATTGTACGCACTTATATACTATATCTATTTGGAGTGGTTTGAAGAGCTGATTAGAAGTATGGAGAGTTAATGTCCCCTCCCACACACGCCTCCCCTTCAGCCACTGTGCGTATTCCCCAAGCGAGCTTTCATACACAGCTCTCCGTCACACAAAAGCTACTCTTTACTCTTGAAATAGTACATTTGAATTCCCTGTTCCTAAGACATGATCTAGAAGTAGGCTCTTACCTGCACGGTTGACCATATGTATTTCCATTCCATTTGGGAATTTTGATTGTAGCAGTAACAGTCTGGTTCAGAAGTTTTAATTAAATCCATTTCTTTCAGAGTTTTACACCTTGGAGCTGAGAGATGGAAAAGGGAATACATTTCCTAAACATTTAATTGCCCAGGATCTTTTTTTCTTTTTTCTTCACAGGGATAATGGTAACCATTTTTACATTTTCTGACCCATAAATTCTCCCACAAACTAATTATAGTCCTTCAGTCTTTCCAACCAGCAGGAGACAAGACAAAAAAAATCACAGTTCAGTGTCAATCCTCTGATGACATACGGAGGGCACTATAAGAGCAGAGGGAATAGGCACTCCAATCTTGAAGAGAGGGCAAGAACTGACGGCAGCTTCCTGGCGAAGAGGAAACATGAGCAAAGCCCTGAAGGATAAGTCGGAGGCAATGGCACAGAAGTCGGGGTGGGGTACCAAGTGTGTGTAAAACCACGGAGATGAGGGAAACCATGGAAGTGGTTCAGCCATTCCTGAGGACAGAGTATGGGAATACAGGAAGATTTCCAACACCTGCACCCAGAGAGGTGAGCAGGGGCCGCTAGTACACTGAGGAGCATGGACCTCGTGCTGAAAGCAGAGCACTCAGGGGTTTTAGGTGAGTATCAAAGTGTCCGCAGCAAACTGCAGACACTCCAAAGGGTTGAACTGAAGCGTTCAGTGAGGACGTGGGCAGGGTTAAGGCATTAACAGTAAGGCACCGTGAAGTTCCCAGGCACCAACAGCAGGCAGCCTTTAACACCCCTAGGCCTGGAACGGCAAAGGCGACTCAATGTTCCTGGAGCCCCGAGGACAGAAGTCTCACGGAATCACTACTAAAACTTCAGTGGAATGGTGGGGTGAGAGTATGGGCACCTCAGCCTCTCCTCCTGCCCTCCCGCCAGTGCCTCTCATTGGCCAAAGCCACTGGGAGGCCAGAGGGCAAAGAAGCCCAGGAGACGCAATCCACAGACGTCAGCTTCTAGGCCCTGAGCAGGGGAGGGAAGGGCAGAGAATGGGTCTGGAGGAACAAAGAGAATAACCAGGTCAATACGGAAGTGACAGGAATGCAGAGGTTTCTATGAGGAATGCGAAATCTTAGAGAAGACTAAAAGCAGAACCACGAAGGAGGCTCCTGAAGCAATCTAAGCAAGAAAGGAACCACACAGGAGGGAGAGCGAGCAGCTTAAAGAGCACTTAGGAGCGGAATCAACATTAGATGAGGGAAAGCAAGAAGACGACAGGAATTTTCCAGCGACTGGAGAGATGGTGAGGCCCCTCACCCAGATAGGGAACATCGGAGCCGAAATAAGCTTGTGCAGGCAGAGGGTGGATGAGTTTGATTTCGGGCACAGTGAGTTTTGGTTGGTGGGACTAAGAGAAGATAGACAGGTCTGCTGCACAGGGGAAATTTGGCTGGAGACAGAGGTAGATACATACATGAGTGTATAAATATGTCTGTGTTATATGTAATATGTAAATAATATATAATATATAATACAACATAATACAATATAACATAGAGGGACAAGTGCTGTATTACAGAGGGCAAATGTGGTAAATGCCACAAGAAAAGGATAAAGTAATGGGGTTCATTTTATTCTGTGGCTGCCACTGTATTTGAATTTAAAATGAAGTGAGAAGAAACTCATAATTCTTTCTGGATCCAGGATAGGGTGTCATCACATCTGTCAACAGGAAACAGGATCAGGGAACCTTATGGACACACAGGGAAATGGGCCTTACGCCCTGCCCCTGGCTCCTCTAAGGAAAGTATGGTCAGCTGTCTTCCAGAAAAACCTGAAACGAAGCTAGAACAGCCTGCTACACTAAAGTTGGGGAAGGATTGAGTAACGAGTAATAACTAGTCAATGATCACATTCATTTGGAGAATAACACTGAATAAGCCCAGATAGGTCCCCGTCCTGACTAAAACATCCTCAGCATTAAGACAGACTTGGGTAAATGACTCCTGGCCAAGGGCTGCACAAGGGAGAGGACGCTCCCAGGACATCAAGGGCTGGCAGTTAACTGTAGAAAGATGATGCCAAAGAAGGCAGTGTAAAACCTGCAAGAGCCTGAGCAACTGCAATAAGAACACACTGAAACACATGAAAAGCCCAAAGCTAGTGAGCAGCACAGGTGGGATTAGAAGTGCTCTGGATTGGCCTTCTGGAATCCCACGCCCTGCCTCCGCATAGCCTCCTGTGGGCTCTCTGAGCAGGAACAGGGGCTGAACTGGGTACTAGAGTTGAGTGGGGTTTATAGTGGGGTTCCTCAAAAAGAAAGGAATTCCTCCCTATCTCTGGAAAGGCAGTGCATTCTGGTGGGGCAGGTGAGAAGCGTGAGGTCGAAGGTCCACAGAGCCAGCAGTCCCAGACCATCATAAGAAGCTCAACTCCAAGCCAGCTGTTTCTGCGGGGTTACTCCTCCTCCTACCACAGGCACACCCAGTGCTAGGGGCTTTTCTTGTGGGTGTCTCCAGGGCTGTCCCTGCATTCCCTCTCCTGCTGGGCTCCACTTCTTGAAGGGCTGAATTGATTCACATAAGAACAGTGAACTACCCTCTGGTTAGTGGTCTGAGGGAGTATCCTCTTTGTGGGGCCCGAGCTTTGCAAACAAATGCTACCTTCAAATGAAGATTTTCCCATTTGGTTCTAAGACTGTCTCCTAAATCATTTGATATCCGAAACTCTTAAGAGCAAGATGATGCAATTTAAGTAGAGTGCAATAGTTTGAATTTAGGAGTAAATGCCTCTCTGTTGTCCAAGCCAGTCTTCTTGGACTTGGATTACTGCAATGGCCTTCCAGTTGGTCTCCCTGCTTCCAGAATCGCCTCTATGGTTCCCCCCACAACCTATTCTCTAATCAGGACACAGATCTTTTAAAAACATCGATCAGAGCACATCATTTACCTGCTCAAAACCCTCCAATGACTGCTCACCGCACCAATAATAAAATCTACCCTCCTCCCCAGGACCTGCTCCCTCTACCCTTCTCTCCGCCGCTTTCCCTCCTGCTCAGCTGCTCCAGCCGCCCCAACCCTCCTGACCTCAAGATGCCTCAAGTTTTCCTACTTGCTCTTTCCTCGACCTGCAAACCCGCTTTCCCCAGATCTCGGCAGAGCTTGCTCCTTCCGATAACTTGTTTGTTCAAATGTCACCTCCTCAGGAAGGCCTCTGACCCCACTGTCTAAGATGGCCCACTCCAACCCCTTTCACCTGCTTTATTCTTACTCTGCTTTTTCTTCACTTACATATGTATTTATTAGTTTATACTCTGTCCTTCTCTATGAAGGTAGGGACACTGCATGTTCATTACTGTATCCCCAGCATTTAAATATTTATCTTTTGTGGGTATGTTGTAATTTGAGAGGAATAGTGGGTTATTTGGGCATGTGTAGCCAAGCCAGTAAAAACCTGGCCAGTCTTTGTAAGAGCCTGGCCAGTGCCAGTCAGCACCACAAAAGGAAGTGCACTCTGGCCCTCCCCTTGAAGCAACCTGATGTAACAGGACACCATGTCCAGCCGGGTCCACTGGAACCCCACCTACGGAACCCACACGCTACACTTCCCCTTATCTACTTGGTCATCAGTGGACCCTCTCCTAGAGGGTGAGAGCTATAACCCTTAATATCCCCAGGCTAGGGACCCTCTTCCTTCTCCTTACCAGACAGAGGAGAGCAGGGAGAAGCAAGAGGTGGCAATAAGCTTGTTTTTGTTTTACTCATAGAAGGTACATCAGTGTATTCTATGTGAAGGACCTCCCAGTTAGAAGACAAGAACTTGCTCTGAATTTCACCTCAGTCTTCAACCAGATTAAGGAAAGTACAGATGGAGGGAGGTTGCCCTGACTATTGATACCTACAGACACACTACTAAAAGCATGTTGCAGTGTCTCCCCTGGAATTCTCCAGAGTGGCCTCTGGCTTTTGAGGTGAAGTCATGTCAAATTTACACAATACAAGAGAAATTATAGACAAGGTGGTGGCATTGCATAGTGTCCTCTAGCTGCCCTAATTGTTATCACCTCTCTCCTGACGTGAATACATTTCAATCAACCCACACAAGAATCCCTCAATATCTAAGGAACTAGAAATTCACAGCCACAAGAAGCCACAAGCCTAGCTCCAAGTGAGTTCATGGGAACCTTAAGCCATGGGCTAGTTGGACTAGCTGCAAGCTGGTGACTTGTAACAATCAAGATTGTTATCGCAGCTGGCCCACTGCCTTCCTAAAGAGAACCAGATCTTTAAATCCGAGATTGTTCATACAGGTTGTGTCTTCCTTAGGCCTCTCCTCCCTTCAGCAAATTTCTTCTAGACACATTTCACTGCTCAGCTTCTACTTCCTCTACCTCCATCGGAGGGTGGGAAACAAAATGTCACCAGCCTGACTGCTCATCTGAACTCTATCGCCTGCTCAAGCCCTGACACGGAAGGCTGCGAGGCTGCCTGCCTGTCTGCAGGTGTCATTTACTTTTGTGGCCTTAGTCTTTGCTGATTCATTCTGTTAGGATGGAACTTCCTGTTGGTAGATGTAGGCAAATCCAAATATATCACGTCAACAAAATCCCCTTACAACGCAGTCCAGAAAACAAAAGGGACTTTCTAGGGATTCGCTAAGATGTAATAATAATTGTTCACTTGGTCAGAAGAGAATAATCCCTGCCTCGGGAGGGCTACTGCTTCCCCAGAGGCTGGAACACTTTTCCAGCCTGGAGGGTGCCCCACAACCTAGCTAGTCACTTCCTCAAACCCGATTCAGATCAGAAGAAAGATCTGGAAGTGCAGGCTGTCCCAGCTATGTCTGATCTCCCAAGCACTTATCAGTACCTGCAGGACCAACCCTGAATGCCACCCATACCATGGCTACCCCAGCAAGGCTGCGTCTCTAAGCCATGAGATGCGTGTCGCCTTCCTGACTCCCTGCAGTCCTCAGCAGGCTCCCCTTACTCTTTCAGCAAACCTGACCTCTGGAGAAGAGCACCTTTCCGTTCAGTTGTGCCCAAGCAGCCAGGACAAAGCACAGTTATTTACACTACCAAAGGACTCAAGTCAGGGTCAGCTTAACCAATGAGAGCCCTTAGTTCATCTTAAATACCACTCAATTTATAAATATTCAATTAATCCAATTTTAGGACTACATATCTCATATAAAAAAAGGGGATAGGTGCATATCACCTGCTTTAACTAATAAATTAAATTTAAAGTTACTCCTTTGTTGTACTGCTGCCATTTATTAGTTTTCCTAACTGTATAAGTATATATATTTAAGTTAAAAGAGTTTAGTTACAAATAAGATAAAAATATGCAGTCAAAACCTCAGACAAGGGCAGGTAGTACTTAAACCTATGTACAGAATATGCTAAAAAAAAAAAAAAAAACACAAACACTCCTCAGATCTTAAACAACCTGCAACATAAAAATGTTTCAGCAATGCTCCTTCTGAAAATTTAACCTTCAATGGCCCTCACATGGGGAAAAAATATCTTCAGGTGAAACTATAACAGAATAATAAAATCACTTATTAGACTGCCATTTTCTCCATTTGGCCTATAACTACTTTCTTTTGAGATAATGGGAGGGAGAAGAATAGGAAAAACAAAAATAAAACCAACAAACCTTAACTCTTCAGAGTTCAAACAGAAGATCTTTTCTGGGTATTATTTTCTGGATTTTTATATTATTATATAAATTCACATTTTCAAAGGAGTCAGCATACAGCACCGGAGTTACAAAGGTAACTTCTCTATTGACCCTAGTTTTTTTTAACCTGACTTGAATAAAATCTTGATTTTCGTTTCCCCAAGAAGTACATAGAGAATGAAACTGAAATTAGCATGTGCTAATGCACATTTGGATCAGATTTTAATTTCAGGTACTGATTTTTCTTCTCCATAGATGAATTTGAAAGCTGTGGTTTCACACGGCCTGTTGCTATTGTTCCAGCCTGGGAATTCAATGCAGTGGCCCAAACTTGATCACAACTACATCCCAGTTGCCAGGGACCTCACCCACTGGCTGCAATCTACGAGTGACTCCTGGCTTGAAGTTTCTCTTCCTCTCAGCCAGACAACTACCTGCCCCTCCTCTGTCAACTGCCTCTGACTTTCCTCCAAATAGGGTGACAGAAAGCTGGCCTCCATCTGGATGTTCTCCATTCCAAGGAAGGGTGTGTATGTTCGAGACTGAATTTTAGAACAGGAAGCATCATCTAATCTAACCTTCTCACATTATAGATGGGTCCTATTTTATGAAAGGAAATACCAGCTGTTTGATTTCAGAGTTCCTCATAAAACCGCAGACTTTAGAGCAGCAATGGTTCTTAGATCTAGTCTAATCCAGTTTCCAGTGTGGCATCATTAGCACACCAGAGGACGTAGGATGCTTCATTGTCCACGTGTAAAGTCTACCTGGAATGGCAAGTGTCGCCATAAGACCACAGAAGATGCCATTTTTCTTAGCTGTGGGCTAGGATTTTATCAACTCAGTGGGCATCCTGCCAGTCTCAGGCAGAACGGAAGCTCTGATAAGCATTTCCGTCTCTCTGATTAACAAAATAGAAAAGTTAACACAAAATGTAGGAACACAAAATCGTGAAAAACGCTGAGTTCACTGAGGCAAAGAAAAAGGTGAGGAAAACGTTGGAAACCATTCAGCAATAGAACATCTTCATTTTACTAATAAGAAAACCATGGTCCACAAAGATTACATGCCTGGACCAAGGTAATTCTACAAGTGGGTGACTGAATGTAATGAGTGAACAAGAACTCAAGGTTCTGGGTGTGGTCCACGGCTACTTAGAATTTTCCGGCTGCTGCCATGCTCAGAAACCTCCCTTCTTAGATAGAGCTGTGATTTATTTTTTCACCAGTAAATTTGTCACTACGAAGCCTTCGTTTCCTCATCTGTCAAATGGATACATAAATGGTACCTACTCCCATAGGACTACTATGGGTATTAAATAAGATAATGCAGTTAAAGCACTTTTAACTGTACTTTTCAATATACTGTCTAGCACGTAGCACACACTCAACCAATGTCTGTTCAATGAAGACTCGGGTAGAGCCGTTCCCCAAGGTGTAACTCACTGCGAGATTGCCCTGAGTCGCAGCTCTGGCAGGATCTGCTAATTGCCTTCATCCTTAGACAAAGAACCCTGATTTTATTGGGAGGGGGTCGGGGGCTACTGTGCCCAGCTAAAACACCACACTTGGTTGCCTCCCTTGCAACCAGAGGTGGCCAGTGAGATGAAGGGAAGTTGGCAGACAGTGACTCCAGGAAATCTTTTAAAGGATTTTATGGGGAAAAAACGAAATAGAAATGCTCAGCCCATAGCAAATGAGTAGCAGTTCTAGAGTTAGACCCCTTCGCTTCCCCTTCACGCCAGATCGGAGAGCCCTCGGCAGACACTCGGAGCAGCCACCACGTCTCGTGTCCTATGTATCAGACGCCGTGCACACGGTAAGCATCAGTGAGCCTGGGAGCCAGCACCATCCGTCTGGCACGTGGCCAGCTGCCTAAGCTGCTCCAGGTCACAGTCAGGGGCAGGGGAATTTTGGTCCGATTCTAAAGCCGAAGCGCCTGCCTCCTCTGGTCTTAAATCCAAAGGACCAGCTAGACAGAGAAATAAGGTTTTCCACATAAATTGATGTACTGCACAAAAGCCCCGTGTTGACCCCGTGACTAGGGCCAGCCGTCCCAGTGACTAGCTGTGTGACCTTTGACAAATCAAAACGTCTCCGAGCTTCGGCTGCTTCTCCGGTAAAACGCGGGAACTGGGCCAGACTTTGAACTTGGCGGGTGCTTCTGGGCCTACCTTCTTAACGCGCCCGCGCGCCGGGGACAGACCGGGAGGGACCGGGAGGGAGGGGGCACGCCCCGGGGGCAGGTCGCGCCCGCGGGGCGAGCCGCACGGGGCAGGGACGCGCCCCCGCCGCCGGGGCCCGCGGTTACCTGACAGCGCCGCCGCCGCCTCCTCCCCGCGCCCCGCGCCCGCGGGCCGTGCGGCCCAGGGCGGCAGCCAGAGCAGCAGCCACCACGGCCCAGGCGGCGGCCGCATCCCGCCCGCGCTCAGCTCCGCGCGGCCCGGCTGCAGCCGACCCCCAGGGCGGGCGCCGCCGAGAGGGGCCGGAACGGCGCGAGGGAGGAGGAGGCGGAGCGGGGCAGGCAGCCCGCCAGGCCGAGGCCCCGCCTCCCGGGCGGAAGAGGCCGGGCCCCACGCTCCGCCTCCGCCCGCGGCGCCTCGTCCTCCCCCGGAGGCGGTTGAGCCCCCGCCGGCGGGTCGGGGAGGCGCGGGGCGTGGACTTGGGGGGGCTTCAGGGGGGTTTGGGGGGCCGCTCCGCTGGGAATTTTGCCTAAAACTTTCCTGACCCGTGGCCTGCGGGGTTTCAGGGCTCGGTTCTCAGAGTTCCCGTCAGTGACACCCCATGAAAACGGAAGGCCCTTAAGCAGCCTCCCCTTTTATAACTAAAAGTCATTTTACTTTTTGTCTTTGTTTCTCATTTTCCTTTTTGTTTGTAACAGCAATAGCAAATTGGCAATTTGCTTGCTTAAATAACACTGACTTGTATGTCCAAGCTTATAAACAAAGCACATTGTAGTATAAAGACGCTCTGAAACGTTCCCTCACCAATGTAACAGACTATCCCTTACGATTAGCTTGCATTAAAAAAGAAATACAGAGAACGGATTGGTGGTTGCCAAAGGGAGGGGGTGGGGGTGGGCAAAATGGGTGAAGATGGGCAAAAGGTGCAAACTTCAAGTTATGAGATAAATTCTGGGGATGTCATGTACAGCATGGTAACTAAGGTTAACAATACGGTTTTGTGTGTTTGAAAGTTGCTGAGTGTAGGTTTTAAATGTTCTCAGAAAATATTTTTTGTAACTCTATGAGGTGGTGGATATTAACTTATTGTGATGATCATTTTGCAATATATACATACATATATCAAATCATTATTTTGTACACATAAAACTAATATAATGTTATAGTCAATTGTATCTCAATAAAACTGGAAAAATAGAGTGGCCTTAACAGTGATAATTAGTACAGAACTTAAAGCCTTCATAATATTATACTGTACTTTTTTTAAAAAAAAAAAAAACAGACCCTCCTCAGGCTTTGGAAACCATTAATATGATTCAATATTTCATACTAAACATTTACCAGAACAAAAGGTCATTTCTTCTTTTCTAATTCTGGTTTTCTGCTGAGGTACCTCAGAGAACCCAATTGTGACAGAAATCATCCTCTAAAAATAACACAGCCTCATTTTCCCCAAAGGTCTGAGTAGAACTCGCTAGACTTTCCCTGGCTTCAAAGTAAGGTTTAACCAGCTGCCCTCAAACTTCTGGCACCACATGCGTACCCATATATGGCTTTTAGAAAGTTCAGAAATCTCCTTGTAAGGGACTCTTCAGGGGGATGATTTTTACAAATAAACTGTTACTACTTGAGCTCTCACCTTGTCTGACCCTGCAGACTGTCACCAGAGAAACAGCAGAGGCCCCGATCCAAGTGTGAGGTGTGCACTTGCCTCTTGCACAGCGGCTTTTTTTCCTAACCAAATTCATTTTGATTTAGTTTAGTTTTGGATGGCACTATGGAAAGTGGCTAAAAGAAACAGGTAGATTCTTGAATGACAAATGTGTTTTCCTGCAGCTGTATCTGGTAGAGAAATAAAAGAGCAGAGGGCAATGTACTAAATTAACATTTAAAGTGCCATTCATATAGTATATCCTTAATAAATATGTTGTAAAGAATCTAAATTGAAATATCACATTCCTCTCTACTGGAGAGCAATAAATACTTTTCCAGAGAGATTGAGAATATTAGAAGGTGATAACTCTGTCACTGGTGGACAATCATGAAACCCCACCTCACTTCCCTCAATCTTTCTCTCATAGGAAAACCTTAAGCCACTGGGGGAGGGGCAGAAAACACTACCACCAACAGGGCCGTGACAAAGACTCACTGCTTCTGGGGGAGAGAGAGAAGCACAAACTCTCTGCCCCTAGGGGAGCAGCAGGAAACGCTGGGGCTCACTGTCCTGAACTGACACAAAGTAGAGGTGAGCTACTGCTGGGAAACCCTCTCTCACTCAAGACACACCACAGATGCAAGGCAGGATTTGGCTGCAGTGGGTAAGGGGGCAGAAATATCGAGAAAGCCCCACTTCTAAGGCTCTAAGGTACATAGCACTTGCCTAAGGCAGGGCTAGCCAGGAGTATGGAGAATCCCCTTGCCCCACCAGAAGATAAGCACCAGTAACAAGCAATACTAGTCTCTGCTGAGGGGGAGAAAAAGTGTGGGGAGAGATCTCCTCTGTAACACAGTGTGCAAGGATTGCTGAAAGCTGAGGGACACTGAGAAAAACTCTCCAGCACTCCAGGCCCCACACTAAGCACAAGGTAATAGCAGAAGAATTTGAGGCCTCTGGTACGCCAAAGGTAATGACAACAACTAAAAAACCCAAACTCAGCTCAACTCCTGACTAGATTGAGTCAATCACCCACATTATTGACCTGACAGAAGAAGGGGCATGCCCATTTTTGGATATAAATATTATTTACCTCAGTCTTTACTGTTCTTCTATATATGAATCCATCATTCAATCAAAAATTATAAGATACTCAACAAACCAGGGGAAAAGAATCCATTATCAAGAGCTAAAGCAATCAAAAGAACAAGATTCAGAAATGACCCAGATGTTGGGCTATGATTAATATGTTGAATGATCCAGTGGAAAAGGTAAACAATGTGTGTGAATGTATCGGGAATTTCAGGAGAGAGATGGAAACTATTAAAAATGTGAAATGGAAATGCTAGAAATTAAAAATATATTATGAGATAAAAGTTCTCATCACAAGAAAAAAATTTCTTTTTGTAACTACATAAGGTGATGGATGTTAACTAGACTTATTTTGGTGATCATTTCACAATGTATACCAATAACAAATCATTATGTTGTACAACTGAAAGTAATATAATGTTATATGTCAATTATACATCAATTAAAAAAAACAACTGAAGAATTCCTTCAACGGACTTATCAGAAGACTGAACATAGCTGAGGAAAGAACCAGTGAACTTGATACAGGTCTATAAAAATTATCCAAACTGAAACAAAAGGAAAGAGAAGAGTTCAAAAAAAAAAGGACAGACCATTCAAAAGCTGAGACAATATCCAGTGGTGTAACAAACATAATGGAGTCCCAGAATGAGGGGAGAGGAAGAATGAGGCAGGGGAAATATTTTAAGATACAAAATTAAGAATTTTCCAAAACTAATGAAAACAGAAGCAAAAAGAAAATCTTGAAGGCAGCCAGAGAAAAATATGTTGCAAACAAAGGGATAAAACTTACAGCAGACTTCTTGCCAGAAACCATGTAAGCCAGAAGATAATGGAGTGACATCTCTGAAGAAGTGGAAGAAAAATACTGTCAATTCAGAATTCTATACCCAGCTACAATACCATTCAAAAATGAAGGCAAATGAAGCCTTTTTTTTATTTCAAACAGACTTTCACTACAAGAAATGTCAAAAGAAGTTCTTCAGGCAGAGGGAGTATGATAGTAGGTAGAAATCTGGATCTACACAAAGAAATGAATAGCTCTAGAAATGATAAAAATGAAAGTAAATATGAAAGTTTTTATTATTTTAATCACTTTAAAAGATAATTATCTAAAGTAAAAATAGTTGCAATGTGCTGTGGGACCTATATGCAAAATTTAAACAAATAACAATACTACAAAGGATGAGAGGAAAGAAATGGAAGTATATTATTGTAAGATTCTTTCACTATATATGAAGTGATAAAATAGTATTTGAAGTTAGATTGTGATAAATTAAAGTTGTGCATTGTAAAACTTAGAGCAATCACTAAAATCTTTTAGAAGAAGTATAACTAATAAGCCAATAGTGGAGATAAAATAGAACAATGAAATAATCCAAAAGAAGACAAGAATATATGGGAAAGAAAAATTGGCAAATAGAAAACAACTAAAAAGATAGTAGATTTAAATCCAACCATGTCAATAAGTACATTAAATATAAATGGTCTCAACACCCTTATTAAAAGGCAGACATTATCAGATTGGATAAATAAGCAAAAGCTTATTTATATGCTATCTACTAGAAATGCACCTGATGTATAAAAATAAATAAGTTAAAAAGAAAAAGATGAGAAAAGATACGCCACACAAACACCAATCAAAATAAAATCAAGTGGCTATATTAATATCAAATTAGACTCTGGAACAAGGATATTACTAGTAATTCAGTGGGTCTAGGGTAGGGCCTGAGGTTTCTGCATTTCTAACAAAGTCCTTGGTGGTTCTGCGGACCACACTGTGAGCATTAGGTCCTTAGAACATTAGGTCCATGGATAAATTGGTAGAATGAAAGCAAATGGAAGGAGTACAAGATCAAATAGTTTGGAAAATACAGCTTACTGTATTATCCCCCTTAGTTGTTCACAATGATGAATAGCATATTAAATACTTAAAAATTTGCAGTTGGCAGCTTCTAGGATGGTCTCCAATGATCCCCCCTTCCTGGAATTCATGCCCTTGTGTAATCCCCTTTCCTTGAGCGTGGGCTGGAAATATTGACTTGTTTCTAGGGAATAGTATATGGCAGAAGTGATGAGATATCACTTCCAAGATTAGGTTCTAAAAAGACTGTGGCTTCCATCTTGGATGCTCTCTCTCACTCTCTCTGGGATCACTCGAACTGGAGGAAACCAGCTACTGTGTTATGAACAGTTCTGTGGAGAAACCCATGTGAGTGAGCAGATGTTCCCCAATAGAATCTTGAGATGATTGCAGTGCTTGGAGAAACTCTGAGCCAGAACCACCTAGTTAAGCTTTTCCTACGTTTCTGACCCTGAAAAACTATGATATAGTAAATGTTTATTATTTTTTCCTGCTAAGATTTAGTGCAATTCATTATGCATCAATAGATAGCTAATATAAAGCTATTTTAACTTTCCCTAACCAGTGTTTAGACCCAGGGATTGCTTAATTTTTACCCGACTGATGCTGTCTTGTTTCTGTAATGATCTTTCTTGGTATTGAGGAATTCTGGATGAGACATTTGGTTTATGTTTATGCTC